TAGGCAATCTCGCTGCTGCCAGCTTTAGGATACCAGGCGCCGCTCAGGTAGTGGGTGGTCAGCAAACTGTGCATGGCAAAGCTGGCATCTTTTGGTATGTTGCCTGAAGATTAAACAAAATACAAAAAAACAGCAACTGAGCAGCCAGCTCGCAAATAAATTTTGAGTCCTCAAATCCAATTCGATTGGAGGTGAAGAATTATATCTAAAAAATAACATGAATGAAAATTATTAAAGTGGGTATCATAGAATAGCACATCTTTTTATTTTTAATCTTCCCACCCAGAATTATGAGCTTCAACCAAAACTTTCTGCGTTCGAGAAAATGCTAAAGAATCAATTCCAGCCGTTGTTGTAAATAAAAATCTGTCTGGTAAATCTACAGCTTTTCATTTCTAAAAACTGACATGTTTCCTCACCAGTTTGTTGCAAAATCAGTGTGTGAATGTGTGTGTGTGAATAGGAATGACTGATTTCCTTAAAAAGCATCTCTGTGTCCTGAAAAGCAAGCCTGACATTTCATTTCTAAATATCTCAGATTCAGACAGACAGGATGATGAGCATCTAAAGAGCAATTTTGGAGTCTTAGCACAGATTTAACAGGTTTTGGGGCTCATGAGGTTTCAGTTCTCTATTTTTAGCAAAGTGTGGTTATTGTTTTAAAACCCAACTCTGCTTTAAAGCTCTCCACAGAAGACTGACCTGTCTGCTGTGTTTGCCGTTTGTCCACTAATGTGCTCTAACAAACCTCCTTCAGCTGCATTTGTGCTGAGATTGAATTACACACTGGTGGACTCAATTTACTAATTTAATAACTTCTTGAGGAAATGGGCTTCACTGCATTTTCTTTATGGGTATCACCATGTTATTTGTAAGAAGAAGAAAAAAAAAAAAACATGAAAAGGATGCATCTATTTTTTCCCTTCCATGTCACAATTAGGGACTAATTTGTCCACTGAAGTTCAATGAGTATGATTAAATTTTCCTGGAACAATAAAAATGCATCTGATTATTTTTTGCACTTTTTTCAGATAAATAGTGGCTTAAAAGAAATCAATAACAAGAAGTGAAACCAGGCAGACCCACAAGTCAGGATTAGTGAGTTTAAACCATTGCAGACAGAAAATTACTCCAAATAAATAAAATGGAAGAAATGGACAAGCTATAGTCAGAAGGACAGCAACAAAAAGGACAAAAAGAGGCAAATGTCTCATATATGGAAATCTAGGAGACCAAGTTAACAACATCTTGTGTGTGATAATCATCTTTTGACCAGAAACCAAAATCACCAGGCGTACCGTAGGTGCCAAAGATGTAGGTGAAGACAGCTCTGAGGTCTTTGTTCTCCGTCAGCTCGTTGACCACATCTGTCAGGCTGCGTGGCGCCATTTTGTAGAAATAAGACAGATGTTTGACGAGGCCAGTGTGGATCAGGAACTTGGCCAAAGGTAAGGGGCAGAGCTTCAGCACAGCCATGACCCAAATGCCCCGCCCAGTTTTCTGCGAAAAAAGAAAAACACACACAGCACACACAGATGATAACATGGATCTTTTTACTTCAACTCTGACCTTAAAAGGACTTTTGAACAGATGACAGTTGAAATCCAAATGATGACGTGTCAAAATGGTTAATCCCTTTAACATCACAGAAGCCTACCTTCACCAGCTTCAAGTACTCATCGATGGCCTTCTCCTCTCCAGGGAATCGCTTCTTCAGCTCTTCAGAGTAGCGAGCGCTGCCGCTGTAGATGGGGTAGGAGCGGCGGTTTTCGGGCGGTCCCAGCACGACGTGGTCAAACGGGTTCTCCAGCTTCTCCCACTGCAGCTGACCATTGGTCATCTGGTCCAGCATGCAGCGAAAGGGCTTATGGTCCATCAGGTCACCGATGTAATGAATACCTACGATATGAAAATGTGTTATTACAGAAATAGCTTTTACAAAGAAAAGAAGAACGAATTTCTTTTAAACTGATCTTCCTGCATATGTGAGGGACATGTAAGGATCATCTCACCAACATCAAACTCAAAGCCCTTCTCTGTGAACGTGTGGCAGCATCCCCCGGCCCGACTATGCTGCTCCAGAACCAGAACCTTCTTTCCAACTTTAGCCAGCAGCACAGCCAGGCCGAGTCCACCGACGCCACTGCCGATGATGACTGCATCCAGGTTGTCTGGTACTTTACTGGCCACAAAACCTGTCACAAAAAAGTAAGAATTATGAATCACAGCTGTGGGTAAAAAGAGAAATGGACCAAATATTCCCAGAGCAAACAAAATCATGTTTAGTGAATATTTAATTATAGATTTAATTAAAAATAGAATCTTGAACTGTACCCTTTTACGTACTAAAGTCCTTTGAAATAACATGAAATGGTCAAAACAGAAAGCCTGTAAGAAAACCAGACAATCAGTGCATCTATAGCAAAAACAATGTCTTTTTTTATTTTCACAAGTTTTTACCAATAATTTTTAAGAATCATTAACTCCCATTTCTACTATGCCATATTAGGGCTGTTGTATATAAAAAAGGTAGCAGTAAATTTCTGTTAAAAAAAAAATTCAGAAACTTACAGATAAATCTCAGAAATCTTCTAGAAAGCAATTGTAAAAAGTAGAAAACTTGCAAGAAAAAATCTGATTATATCTTAAAAATATTCCAGAAAATCTCGGAAATTTCGTCGCTTTTGGCAGAAATGCACGTCTTTTTATGCCTACCATAGCCCTATTTCACATCTTTGATGTTTTGCATGTATTTAAATTAGTCCAAGAAGCGGGGCAAATAATATTTAAATAATCTATTAAATCAAAATAGCTGTTTGGATATGAAAATATTCTCTTAAGCAGGTCTGCACATCTTGCTTTGCAGCCATGAAATTTACATCAATGCTATGAACTTGCATAAACAAACCCACCTTGCTTAAGGATTTTGTTTTTCTCTTTCTTGTCGTAAACCTTCTCTTTTAGCGGCTCACGACAGTCCTTCTCAAAGGGGTTCGGACCTGAGCTGCCGAAGACATATTTAAGTAAAAATATGACCAAAGACACACAAGCAAAGGCTACAATCGTCAACATCACGCCAACTTTTCTTTGCTACGTCCTATCAACTGGTCAAACTACAGTTGAGTTCCCTTCCTCGTTAAGTATAGTGTAGTCCCGCCCATTTTACTGACAGATGACAGTAGCCAATCAGAAAATTAGATTTTCTATACGTAATATTATCCAGTCCAATAAGCGACGGGTACAAGGTGAGCGGACTGTCCGTGTTGTACTGCATGGCTGAAGCTAAATTGACCTTTATAACAGTAAAAACTCGATACAAATCAGACATTTAAAGCAGTTTAGTCTTATGCTGCATTCTAAAAGGAATTAGTTTAGTTTTACCATTTAAAATATGAGTCAGTTTGTTATACAGACCTAAAGCTGAATATGTTTACTGCACTCACTTGGTCATAGCTTCTTTTGTATGGTTACTGCATCAACTTAGATCAGTCTGTGGTTTTGCTTTGGGTTTAAGGATGCTCGTGTTGTTTTCAGTTCAATTGCATGCTTGACTTTAATGTTTCACACCTGCTTTTTCACAATATTCCAGGTTCTCTTGGGATTTAGGTCAGGTCCGTTTGCAAGTTCAGTGATACAGTATAGTGAGTTTCCAATGCTGCTGGAAAAATTAACCTGTCGTCTCCATAAGACTATTTTCAGAGGAAAGCATGAGGTGCTCTGATCGTTGACTTAGAATAGACACAGTGGACCAACACCACCAGATGGCATTATCACCGGCTATAAAAAAAAACACTTCACACCGAATCTAAGATATTTGGAATCTGTGCCTCTGCCCTTCCTAAAAACTCTTGGTTCTACCATACTTTTTCCCTCCACAAAACTTTAAAGCAGTTTCATCTCTCAAATTATTGAACTATTTTCAATGATGTTCAAATTTACGGAGACGTACCTGTATCTCTACATGCTTCACACCTTCCTTTCTAGTTTGACTGCATTTTTTCAGAAATGCAGCCCCACCTTCATGAGTAGCACAATTTACATTGTTTGAATTTTTACAATAGACATTTATAGAAAGACAACTTGTTTGAGGAACTTTTTAGAACAAATAAATGGTGGAAAAACAACTTTTAGACTAAAATTTAAGTTGAGGTGATTTTTGAATTGCGACTTCATATTTTCAGCAACTTTGTATTTTTTTTCCCCCTGTACTTAAATTACAGAAAATATGCTTTTAGTCAAACAGCAGCGATGTGGATAGGTGGTTGTAATCTGAACAGTTACCAGTGTAAAGAAAAACTACATGTGTATAATGAAACGCACACTTTCAAATGAACATACTAGTTTAATACTGACTGCTATGATTTGGCTTAAAACTCCTGTTTCATAAGGTTTGCAATAACATGCCAACTTCTTGAAGGTACTTCCTACTCCAAATTTAAAAAAAAAACCTTATTTGCATCTTCACATTGAATTCCTGCATTATAATCACAGGAAGATTAATTTTTTGGACATGCTTTGCCAACAAAACCCAAGTTTTACATAAGAAACACTTTATTAGAGTCAGCGACACCCACCCTGTACCTCTCCATCATTCACTATAAAACCTCACCCAATTTAAAAGCAACCCAGGAGTCGATATGAAGAACACCTTGAAATATGCCATGCTGTATAATAACATCAGTGTGTTGCCTCGTCTTTTTATTCAGATGAACTGACGGTTATCAGTCCAGCACTCTAAAACTTGATGACAACTCCATGTTTGTTTACATTTCAATAATTTAAGTCTTTATTGAAGTAAAACATTTAAACTCATTCTTGGACTTTCCCACATTCAAAGCTAGTAAAGATTTCTGATCTCGCCCTGAAACTTTTCAAATGTTTGGGAAACATTATTTCAGGGTGAACATTTTTCAACTTGGGGGCGCAGGGACATTTATATTAAAATTTGTCATAAATTTCATCCCTGCTCACAGGTGTGCAGCCCAACCCCCCCCCCCCATCAGAATGCCATTTGCAGTCCACCCTGATCAGTGTGGATGGATTTGTGTCCAACTAACAGATTTAGCATCAGTCTGTGATTCTTTTGTTAGTATAGTAAGCTGAAGAGGGATGGCCCCAAAAAGTTGATATAAATGAGTGGAGCTTCAGAAATGAAACACCAACTCTGGGTTTAATTCAAGCAGTGCTGAGCAACCTTCATGGCTGCTGAAACAGATTTAAAAAAAAAAAAAAAAAAAAAAAAAAAAGGGTCAAGCATGACAAGAAGGATCGAACCAGAAGCCCTTATCTTAAGTCCATTTTTGGTATTTACCGCATCTTTTTCAGCCTCCTCGTTAAAATCTCTGTCACCCATTTTGATTTGATTATTTCTAAAACTCAATTTTTATTTTAGTTTCAAAAAGCACTTCCAATATTTGAGGATAAAATCAAACAGTAGGTTCTACTCTGCATGTGTTAGGGCATTAACCGCAGTTACGTCTGACTTCTTATGTACATTTCCTGTGGATCTGGAAGAAAGTAGTGGCCAGCAACCCGTGCATTCGGTTGTGTTTTGGTACATTTTAAGACAGCCTTCAGAGGAAATACAGTTGTTTGCAATGATGAACTACAAATGGCTTAAGGTCCATGTGGTTGAGGGACTGGGAAAACCTGAGGGCTCTCCCAGCCTCAGTACACCTGGCAGCGGTAGTGCAGGTCGAAGTTCAAAAGGTCAGAAAGTAAAAATGAGGGGGAGGGAGTGAGTTTTCTTTTCCGAAAGCATGAAGCCATCAGTCCATGGTGCGGTTTTCAGGCCCGTTGGTGACGCGTGCTTGTGGCGTAAAGGGATGTCACTGCAGAACCAATCCAACCTGGAAAACAATCAGAGCAGCCGTTAAGTAAAATACACAAAGGAGATTTTAAATTAGGTTTTAAAAATCACAAACTACTCTGCATGACGACATCTTGAATTATGCGAGAGGAAAACCTTCTGGAGAAATGACTCAAAACAAAAAGATATTCAATTATATTAATTATAAGTCAATTTATTAGCGATTCAAATCAAAAACCGGAAAAAGTAAATATTACACACAAAGTGAGAAAAGTAGGCATTTACTTCAGTTAAGATAATGACTGAAATAAATGGTTAATGAAAAACCAATATTGAGTTCATCAGAAAATGTGCATTTATTCTGCACAAGACAAATTAAAAAAAAATTACCTTTTCTGCTCCCATGCTGGGACACTTCCAATTGTACAGATAATACTGTAGATTCCCATCCCCAATGCCGAACTTCAGCTTCTCCAAGAAAGTCTTGTTTTCCATTAGATCCAGTGCATTAAAGACGTCGAAGCCTTTCTGTATAGGCACAAAGCAGAAGGAGTTTAACATGTGAAGAAAGGATCTCTTATGTACGTTTTTATAAAACTGTGTTAGACGAACCGATTTGGCCAGAATGAGAGCGTCGGACATCAGGTCCAGCAGGGGTGTGGTGGTGTGCACGTTGTAGAAGGAGTACGCTGCTTTAAGACTGCGATGAACAGGGTGATTCATTATGGTGGAAGGCAGTGTGTAGAAACTCAGGAAATCTGTCACTTTGCCTTCGTTCTGTTGGATAACAACATCATCATTAAAATAAAAAGGTGCAAACCTTTGCTGAGACATTAACCAACAAAAACATTCATTACCTCCACCACATATGTGTCAATAATGTTCTCCTGTGGGAGCAACCAGTGCTTCACCTCCTCCTCGTTCATGGCAGGAACCAGGTTGAACTGGTTAAGGTACTCGCGGAGGAGGCGGCTCACCACTGGTACATCCTTCTTGGTCATCGGTCGCAGACCAGAAGTCTTTGGGGACTGAAGGGTGAAAAGAATATGATGGAATATGATGAAAGAAGAGCTTAGCTGATAATCCGCATCAAAATCTGTTTCCATTTGCCCCAGACCTCAGGCAAACGGTACAACTTCATGGTGCGCTGCATAGTCATGTTCCTGCTCAGGTGGGAGAACTTCACTTCGATTAGTTTTCGTGGGTTCAAAGAGCGATGCCAGTACCTGTCCAGAAGAGGAGTATGTGAACGCTGCAGTATGCAACTTTAATTTAAAAAAATGTTTTTTTACACATTTGTTGAAACTGTCACTATGTTTCAACAATCTCTGTTGAATCTGTGGAAAAACAAAAGAGAAGAGCTCCTCCGCCTTCTCCTAGTGCTAACTAAAAATAACCAATCAGAGCCAGGAGGAGGGTCTTAGTGCTGTCAATCAGCTCATGTGCATGCCTCCCTTCTTTGCTCTCTGCTACGACAGAGCTTCTCCCATGTCAAGAATGCTAAAGCTAAAAAGCAAGGCCACCAATGACAGCAGAAAAGCAGTTTTCTTGTAACAGTAAATTGCGTCTCTGCATTTAGCACATTTAGCAGCGCGTTCATGTAGTTGATCGACATCGCTTAGACCCTCCTCCTGGTTCTGACTGGTAGATTTTGGTCTGGAGCTGTGCATTTCTTTGAAATGCAAGGTGGAGGAGGTTCATATTTTCACAGATTATTTGTCTTCTATTATACTGTCACAACATGGTGAGAGTTTTAACAAATTTTTTATAAAAGTTACAAACTGCAGCTTTAAAGTAGATGACATTCAAGGCTTTACAATCAGTAAAAAAAACAAAACCGGATATGGCCATCTGCCATGCAGACCTGCAGGTTCCCACAGGCTTGGGCAGTACCACCCCGGCAGTGTACACCGCCTGGAAGATGCCCTGAAGGTTGACCCGTCTGGTGATTTCCCGGATCAGAACTGGAGCAACCCGTTTGGCTCGTAGCTTCTTGTGGACACACAAGAAATTGATCTCTACCATTTTTTTTTCTCTAAAAGCACAAGAACATCAAGTGATGAGATGTGGAAGTTGGCTGGAGATTAATGACGCACTCAAAAATAAAACATTAAAAACAACCCAGTGGATCAACTTACATGTCATAGATGCGGATGGTGGCTGGAATGGCACTGATGAACCCGACCAGCTTCTGATTGGAGTTCACTCGGACTCCGCAGTGCCACTGAGGCAGCCAACCTGGAGGTCGAAGAGCCCTGAGCAAAAGACGGATTATTCGTTTTGATGCCAAAGTGTCTATAAATGGAAATTAAATGCAACTTTAAAATGTCAAACTGAAATCATGAAGCTACCAGA